CTAACTAAAGGTAACCTCACTTTTAAGCAGGAAAACTATTCCATGTAAAAAGCATTATGGTTGATGCATAACTGAGACACCGATTTAGAAAGTATTTTTAATATCTGAGATAATTTCTCCATCTGGCTCTGTCCTGTTCCTGTTCTCCTGGGTTCTTCTCCCAAAAATCTATTTTAAACTGGTTGTGATTCTCAAATGAGTGTTTATTTTAAGCAAAAGCTTTAACAACATTTAACTTTTGTTTTTTCCCTGTGTTGCTAGCCATGTGTCAACTCTGCCTCTGTTCATTGTTCCTGCTCTGATTCTGTCAGATTCCTGAGCCCACACAGAACTATTTAAAGACCAACTAGAGTTCGACATAAGACCACACACACCATCAAATAGCCTCTTGTTTAGCTGCATTTACTCTTTTATTAGGAATGGAGCTTAAAACAAAAGTCATGGGTATTTAGCAGAAAAAGGAAATCTGCTGACATAGATTTTTTTGATCTACAGGAAGATGCTTCTTTTCACCTATTTTTGACAGAATTTTATTAAAATTCATTACATTGATGCTACACTCCGTTTAGGAGACCAGGCTCCTGACAGTTCGAGAAACGTGTAATTATTTTACGTTTGCAACTGTTTATGCCACCATGTTTAATGGAATTTTGCCATTTACATTTTTTAAATGCCCATCTTAAGTTGTTTAATAACTAATCAATTTCTGTCCGTGAAACATTTGCATAGTATCTTGCAATTTTGTGATTCTAGTCTCCAGTGACAGCAGCCCAGTGAGAACTGGCTCAGGTAATCTCAACACCCAAGTGTAACAATATGGCCAAGTTTAAGCTAACAAATGTTTTTAGAACTAGAGATGTCACATTCCGATATCAATATTGGAAGTAATTCGACATCGGCCCAAAACACTGTATCGGATTATATCGGACTGCATCAAAAATCTCTGATATAAGCAGTCTGTTAAGGTTCCCATTTTTGCAACCAATGGTTTAAAAAAATTGTAATTTATTGGCTCTTGTTCTCCGATTGATTAATATCACTTGATCAAGCCTTTCATACATTCCACACTACGAAATAGGTAAAAGTATGCATGATTTGTTGTGATATCGTATCGAGTTGATAAAGGTATCAGTCAGTACTGAAGGCTGCAATATTGGTGTCATATCGTAAGTGATTTAGAATACAGCAGGATGAATTTGAATTTTTCACCGCTTGGTATAAAACAAATTGCAATTATCAGTGCCCCAGCAAACCCCTCTTTTATGACCAACAGACATTGTACAGCACTCACTCTTGACTGACCTCCCGCTAGCGTTCCGTGTCATAAACACATAGATGTGTAGCTGATGAAAGTGAGTGTAATGCCATCTCGGTAAGCCTCCCTCTTTCAGCACTACTGTACTTGCTCACCCTCACTCTGGTGATTTCATGGCTCTTAACCAAACACAAAGACACAATTATGGCTGTGCTCACTGAAAAAAACTCACATTTTCTCCCGTTTTACTTCCCTCTCCAATCTTCCATCCTTTCACACTCTTCCTCCTCCCACACACATTCACACTTTCACCCACATCTTGCATCTTGGGGATAAATGTAAAGCCACATTTTCCATTTACCTCATTCATTTCTATTTTTGGAAGGGGGGTTGAGGAACAAAGAGGGGGAAAACAAGAAGAGCAGAGAGTATGAAAATAGAAGAAGACATAGACGAAGGATGGAGGAGTAGACAGTTTGTGTTATAATTAGCAGAGTAATTAGGTCTGGTCCTCAGAAGGCCCCTCCCACCTGCTAGTCTTTGAAGTTCCATCCTACAGACTAACCCCAGTGCACTTGAGGCATCCAGAGCAATGGGGGATGTCAGGAATGTGGGTCGAAGTGTGTGTGTGTGTGTGTGTGTGTTTGTGTGAATATCTGGAGATGCTTATGATGAAACGGAGAGAGAAAAGATAGGGATGTCAGCTCAGTGTCTGTTTGCTGCCAGTTTGCTCATGAACCCCTTGGATTTAGGGTATTTCTGAATTTTTCAACACACACACACACACACACACACACACACACACACACACACACACACACACACACACACACACACACACACACACACACACACACACACACAAGTCACATGAGTTTCTTTGTTTTGGTTTGCTGCAAAGATAATTCCCAGCTCTCTTACACTTCTCTGTTAGGGGAGACAAAGACTGACTGACTGTGTGCATGCATGTGTGTGTGCCTGTGTGTGTGTGTGTGTGTGTGTGTGTGTGTGTGTGTGTGTGTGTGTGTGTGTGTGTGTGCACACACAAGGGAATGAATGTGTTTTGTGTTTGATTTCCAATGCTGTCATCTTGCTTGAGTGTTGCAACCTTTACCATGGTATTTTCACTTTTTTTAGGTGGTCTTTGCTCGTCCCTCTCCATTGTTGGATGGATTAGATGCTTTTAGTCATTTACTGCACACGTTTTTATCAGATCTGCATGTTGAAGGGGCCAATAGGACCATGGTGACAAACAGTAGGTACGGAAAGTATTCTGATCCCCGTCAGTTTTTCACTCTGTTATATTGCAGCCGTTTGCTAAATTCAATTGAATGAAATTTTTCCTCATTAATGTACACACAACACCCTATATTGACAGGAAAACACAGAATTTGAGAAATTCTGCAGATTTATTAAAAAAGAAAAACTGAAAAATTACATGGTCCTAAGAATTCAGACCCTTTGCTGTGACACTCATATTTAAACCTGGCCATGGTTACAAAAACATCTCTGGTGCAGTTAAGGTTCCTAAGAGCACAGTGGTCTCCATAAGCCTTAAATGGAAGAAGGTTGGGATGACCAGAACCCTTCCTAGAGCAGGCCTTCTGGCCAAACTGAGCTACTGAGGGAGAAGAGCCTTGGTGAGAGAGGTAAGGAAGAACCCAAAGATCACTGTGGCTGAGCTCCAGAGATGCAGTCAGGAGATGGGAGACAGTTGTAGAAAATCAACCATCACTGCAGTCCTCCCACCAGTCAGGGCTTTATGGCAGAGTGGCCCATTAGAAGCTACTCCTCAGTGCATGACATATGAAAAGCCCACATGGAGTTTGCTAGAAAACATCTGAAGGACCCCAAGATGGTGAGAAATAAGATTTTCTAATGAGACCAAGATAGAACTTTTTGGTCCTTATTCTAAGCGGTATGCGTGGAGAAAACCAGTCACTGCTCATCACTTGTCCAATACAGTCCCCACAGTGAAGCATGGTGGTGGCAGCATCATGCTGTGGGGGTGTTTTTTCAGCTGCAGGGACAGGACGACTGGTTGCTATCAAAGAAACAATGGATGCGGTCTAGTACAGGGATGTCCTGGATAAGAACCTTTTCCAGAGTGCTCAGGACCTGAGACTGGGCCGAAGGTTTACCTTCCAACATGACAATGACCCTAAGCACACACCTAAAATAATGAAGGAGTGGCTTCAAGGCAACTCTGTGGCTGCTCTTGAATGGCCCAGCCAGAGGCCTGACTTAAACCCAACTGAGCATCTCTGGAGAGACCTAAAAATGGCTGTCCACCTACATTCACCATCCAACCTGAGAAAACTGGAGAGGATCTGCTAGGAGGAATGGCAGAAGATCCCCAAATCCAGGTGTAAGAAACTTGTTGCATCTTTAACAAGAAGACTCATGGTTGTATTATTTCAATGTTTGTGTGGGATTCTGTAAGGGGGATCAGAAAATTCAGAAGAACTGGAGACAGAAATCAAGGATAGCAGACAGAACCTGACTCTTACCCCTACTTTACACTGGAAGCATCAATGGCACGGAACAGCAGTGGAACGTCACAACTTCAAATAGAATTCATTGTAGTTTATGGGGGTGATTCAAACCACGTGGAAAATTTAGGATTGAGTTCAATTTTTTTATTTTCGCATATTTTGGTTCGAGGCAGTCAGCTAATGCTTCACAATGCCAAAATGTTGTAATTTCATTAACTTACCAGAGGATAAAATCTCTGAAACACAGAGAAGGAACAACGTTCAATGGTGGATCTATTGGTGTTTGGAACTATCCGAAGCTTCATGGCCAACGTTACTTCCACATTCCATTCTTTCTATTGAAACCTATGGGAGTGTCCGAACTCTCTCTCAAAGGTTCTGGCATTACCTAGTTCTGGCTTCCTCTAAAAGTGAGTTGTGTGTGGGTTCTGTGATGGTGTGTGTGTGTGCTGATGACTCTGATTTATGAAGAGATTTTTGTTGTGCTGTGTCATTGATGGTAAATTTTTAGGGATGTGTGTGCATGTACAGGTGGTGTCTCACAAGAGCAAGAGGAGGATGGCAATAGCAGGGGTTATGTGCTGAGGGTCAAGTGGGATGGGCGGGAAGTATCTGCTGCTTCTTCCTCACTGCATTTCCTCAAATCCCCACTAATGTTCCCCTACCGCACACGGGTGAAATATTTGCACACTTGCAAAAACACGGGGTGACACAATGAAACAGGCTTAAGGCAGATTGAGCAAGGTGTTTCCTGTGACCTGGACGACTGCTACATCAACACAAATACTCGTCTGGAGCAGCAGCGACATGCAATCCAGATGTGTGTGTGTGTGTGTGTGTGTGTGTGTGTGTGTGTGTGTGTGTGTGTGTGTGTGTGTGTGTCTGCAAAGTGATTTGACTTTCTCCACCTTCAATTAAAGCTAGTCAATTTCTCCCCGATTAGAGGTGTGAATCTGTGTGTTGGTGGAAAGCAGCTGTGTGGAAGTCTGTGGTACTCATTCTTTATTAATGCTGTGTTCATGCTTTATTCAGTTACTGTTAAGGCATTTTCATAATAATGAATATTGGATTAAAAGCAGTGATACGTTATTCATGAGTGTACATATTCTGCGCCGGTGGCCCCCCCCCCCCCCCCCCCCAATGTGGTGCTCACACAACCACAGCCGCTTAAACACCCTTGAATCTTGTATTTGTTCACTTGTTCATCAGAGCTCTCCCACCAAACTGTGTTTCTGTGTGCGTCCCCTCAGGCCGTGCACTGCCCCGCTATGGAGAAGATGAAGAGGATAAAGAGGCGTCTGTCGTTAACACTCCGCCCCAGTCTGACCATCGACGAGTCACTGTCTGAACTAGCTGAGCAGATGACCATAGAGGATGGCGGCACCAAGGATAATGGTGAGGGTTCAACAAAAACTGGTATTTCCATCTTAAATCAGGGGAGGGATGAGACACACACACATTTTATCCTGCCCTCTCAAACCTTCTATTGATTTCAGGATTTTTGGTATTTTTTATTGACAACATGACTACATGTGAAAGTAAAACCTGATGTTTCTGGTTCTTAACATAAAAAAGCTGCAGGCTCATGAAACACAGTGAAATATCTATAAGTAAAAAAACAGTTAAAAATGGATGTTAAGTTGTTCAGAGATAACAATCTTTGCAGCAAACCAAAACTTGAAACAGAGATGAAACATTTTTACTGAACAATGAGATTCTGTTTGATTTTGTCAGACTTTAATTAAAACTGTAAATGTCTAATATCAATCCTGATTTTGGCTCCTTACAAACACAAATGCTAAACTATAAACAAAACAATGAAATTATTTTGTTCCAGTATGCTTTTACTTTATGTTTTTTAAAGCATGCTTTTATTAAATTCTTGACTCCTGAGTGACATCCACTTCTGCCCCTCCTGAAGGCTAAGTTCATGAGTGTCTTCTTTAGAGGAATCATGGAATAAATCTTGACATTTGTCAATATCTGGATTAGATCAAACCAAATCAGAGATTTTGCTAACTCTAAACAAGGACATACACAAAGCAAGAAACTGATAATCGTCCGCTAAAGCCTCCTGCAACCTCCATGTGTCTCTGATTTTGGTTATGGTGTCTGCCACAGCACAGAGGTGCACATCCCTAGTACGGTCCCACACCTGCATTCCAGTGTTTTTGTTTTAGAATGTTCTGGAAAGATAAAATCAGTCTCTGATGGAAATACATTCAATTAAATTGAATTCAAGTTTATTTATGTAGCACCAAATCACGACAAGTCATCTCAAGGCACTTCATATAATAAACATTCCAATACAGATCAGTTCATTAAGCCAATCAGTAAAAGTTTCCTATATAAGGAACCCAGCAGGTTGCATCAAGTGACTGACTAGTGTCAGTGACTTTACAGCAATCCTCATACTAAGCAAGCATTTAGCGACAGTGGAGAGGAAAACTCCCTTTTAACAGGAAGAAACCTGCAGAGGATCCTGGCTCAGTATAAGCAGCCATCCACCACGACTCATTGGGGATCGAGAAGACGGAGCAGACTCACGCACACACCAACACCAACCCACACACATCCACACAACATATATACCAAGTAGTGTTTCTATGCTTACATTGTGATTTATTAGTAAATATTCTATTTGGTGAGAAATACACTTTATTGTATTTATCCTAATGAATCTACAATTAAATGGGTAAACTAGTAGTTGCACATTCAGTGTCAAAGAAAGTAAAATGTTATTATCAGGAGAGGGAGAATGTTTAAATGGTTGGCAGCAGTGTTCAAGCTGATGGCCCCCTCCATGAGGCAACCACAGCTCAGCAGAACACTATTGTGTTTGTCTACAGGTGGTTCAGAATGCCTGTGCTCGGCTTCTGACCAAGTCCTCCAAACACACCCACATCCCGCTTCTCCTTCAGCTTCACTGGCTGCCAGTCAACTTCAGGGTTAATTTCTTAATCCTGGTTCTGGTCTATAGGGCCTTACATGGACAAGCACCATCTTACATTGGTGATCTTCTTAGTCCCTACACCCCCAGCAGGTCCCTGAGGTCCAGTGATCAAAGCCTACTGGTTGTGCAGCACCAGGCTAAAGACCAAACGTGACAGATCATCTGCTGCTGTGGCCCCCAGACTCTGGAACTCTCTCCCCCTGAGCCTGAGATCAGTGGACTCAGTGGTCTCCTTTAAAAAGCAGCTGAAAACTCACCTGTTCAGGCTGGTTTTGGTGTGACCTTCATCACCCTCTCCTTGTTCTGCTCTCCCTACCTATTCCACCTTCCTCAGGATCCACTGATTTCCCTCTTTCCTTTTCACACTCTCTCTTTCTTTACATTTTTAATCACAATTGTCTATTTTTTGCTCATTTTGAATATATTTTTAATCATTTTCTAAATTCTTTTTTATATTTGAAATTTTTTGTTTTTGTGAAGCTCCTCGTGATTTTTATCTTGAGAGGCGCTATAGAAAAGATCCTTTCTTCTCCTTCTTCTTCTTCTTCTTCTTGTTCTTGTTCTTCTCTTTCTTCTTTTTCTTCTTCTTTTTCTTCATTGTAGCTTGTTCAGGGGAGAAAAACAGAGAAAAAATAAAGGTAACAGCTGAAATAGATGGACAAATAATACAGTTAAAGAGCAAATTGTAGAAGAAAGTAGTAGAGTGCGGATAGTGGTCAGTATGTCCTCCAGCAGTCTAAGCCTATAGCAGCATAACTACAGAGATAACTGTGGATAACCTAGCCTTTTAGATGGAAGCATGTTTGAGGCAGGGCAAGGGAGAGCCGTCTTTATTGACTGTATTCTCCACCTCCCTCTACTCCTCCACTTTTCCAGATCTGGGCTAACATTAGATTTTATAGCCTGGCTTGTCAGACTCGACTTCTGTTTAATTCTGCACAGAGAAAGAGTCTGGTAACTCACAGGCAGACAGGCACTTGAGGGGCGGGACCAGTGGCGGCTCCAGAATTTTTTTTTTTGCAGGTGCTATGAAGGAGCTAGTCTTTTTATTGAGGGTGCAATGAAGGAAGTGGTCATGCGTACCTATTGTTCTCTAAAACACCTTCAACACTAGCAGATACACATGCCTGCACAAAACCTCAACAACACCTGAAACAGTCATTAATATACATCATAAACATATGAACAATCGCTGACTTTTCCATGAAATCATAAACACATACAGCCACACAGAAAACCATCTATAGTGTTGCAAGGTTAGCTAACGTTAGTGTTAGCATTTCCAGCGGCAAAACCCTCGACTGCTGCGGCAGTTGAGGGTTGACTCTCTTCATCCAGATCCGTAGGTTATTGTGGGTCTGAGATCACTTCCAAAGATTCATTCGTTTCTGACTGAACCCGTGGAAATTTGGGCAACAAAAACCGATCCATTTTACAACTAGCTCTACCTTTCACTCGTTCGCAGGTGGAAGATGAGGTCAAAGGTTAACATCAATTTCCTGTTTTGGTTTAAGTTTTTACTATCTATATGATAATTTACTGATTACTTTTGTTTTGTATGTTAAATATTATCACATCCACACATTAAATTAAAATTAAATTGTAAAAAAAAAATCTAATATTTACTTGGGGGTGCTATGGGGGTGCAGTGACAAATCCAGGGGTAGCTATGGCGCCACCTAGCGCCCCTGTGGCGCCGCCACTGGGTGGGACTAGGCAGCTCAAAAATAACCAACCAGACAAAAGACGGAAATGCCGGCTGTACCACGCGACGCTGTAGTTATTTAGCTGTAGTAAAAAAAAGGCATTCGTCAATGGCGTAAACATCTTTTATTTTTTTTAGAAGAAATGCTTTTAGCACTTCTACTTGTGGTTGTAAAGACATTTGAGTCATTTAGGACAGACGAAAGAGCCGCAGCGAACTCCGTTGCTGTCTTAGTTGTTTATGAGAAACAGAAAGTCGCTATGTGTGACATCTGCGACACTGTAGTTTATTAGCTGTAGTCAAAAATTGAGTCTGGCGACAGCGCAAACACCTTTCTTTAGAAGAAAGGCTTTTAGCACTTCTACTTGTTGTTTTAAATAAGTGTCCAAGTCATTTAGAGAGGAAAGAGCCGCAGTGAACTCTGCTTCAGTCGCCGTGTTCAACAAACTCGGCGTTATGGTGTGTGACGTACACTACTCAGCACTAACTGGCTTGATTAGAATTCTCACGGGGTTGGGTTATTTGAATAGGAGAGTTCCCAGACCCTTTCTCTGTGCAGAACTGAACAGAGGAGGAGTCTGGCAGGCCAGACTACAGATTTTAACCATGGGCCCTATAAAAAAAATTGTTTTAAGCCTAGTCTTAAACGTAGACAAGGTGTCTGCCTCACAGACTAAAGCTGGGAGCGGATTCCAAAAGAAAGGAGCCTGATAGTTAAAAGATCTGCATCCCATCCTGTTTTTAGATATTCTGGGAACCACCAGTAAACCTGCAGTCTGAGAGCGAAGTGCTCGGTTAGGAACATATGGAACAATCAGTTCACTGATGTATGATGGTGCTTGATTATTAAGAACTTTATATGCGAGAAGGAGGATCTTAAAATCTATTCTGAATTTAACAGGTAGCCAATGTAGGGAAGCTAAGACTATAACTGTTCAAAAAACTTTGACTTTTAGTTTCACAAGAAAGCATTCAAATGTTTGTAGGCAATCTGTGTCTGATGGACACCAGGGAACCATATGCTTGTGCCTTTTTCCCATCAGGCATTTAAAACTCCCCGTTGAGTTTTCAGTGTCTTGACCAGACTCATGGGAGTTCAGATTAGGAAGCCCTGAAGTGAATGTGTGGAGAAGTTTAGTTCTGTATGTGAGTCAGTAGCAGCTGCAGTGGGCTTCCTCCCAGTCCCTCTGCATCGCTTATGTAACAGGAGCACGCACGCATGCACGCACGCACGCACGCGCGCGCACACACACACACACACACACACACACAGTCCTGTATTCATCCATACCTTCAGATGACACTTACATTAGTTTTATAAAGATTAACTCCATCTTTAACGGTAAGTACTCTCTCACTATTCCTAAGCTAGACCAAACTAATTTCATCCAAACACACACACAAAAAAAAACATTTTCGCCTCAAAATGTATTCATTTGCTTTATGTAACCTGACTTTGAGGCTCAGCAGGAAGAGCGTGTCTTTGTAATGTGAGAAAAAAAGACTCAAGGCCCCTAAACACCAATAAGATCTTCCCACTCGCACAAACAAAACACAGCTTCCTTTAAGAAACCAGATTTCAGTCAGCCAAACACACTTTTCTGGACTCTGCTCAGTTACATAACATTCTGTTTGGTCAGGCTCCCAGCACAGTGTGTTTCTAATGAACTGTTGGCTGCCACTTATAATTGACAGCTTTCAGAATAAATGAACACACACGTCCTTTATGTGCAGCAT